TTGTCAAATGTCATTTCGTGGTTATTTTAAATTAAATTTTTTTTCCACATGTCATTTTATGAGCTTTTCTATTTTATTAAATTTCACATAATATTTTAATGTAATAATTGCAATAATTATAGTAATAAATTGATATCAGTTTTATTAATAAACTTACCTTTAAATTTTAAAATTCTCAAATTAAAGCTCTGTAGTTTTTTATATTTATTTATTTAAATTATTTGTTTAAATTTAAAAGATAAAAAACATTTTAGTTATAATAATTCATTATTTTTCTTACTGTCTTATAAATTCAAAGTTCTCAAATAGTGACTTTTTATATTTATTTTTTTTTCTTTTAAATTAACCCATGTAATGCATGGGTCACCCAATTAGTTATATAAAAAAATAAAGTTATTAACAACTATGATGTTTATATTTCAGGAATAGAGATCGTCATAACACAATAAAAATCAATTTGAGAGACCAGTTAGAAGAGACGTCATAACACAATAAAAATCAATTTGAGAGACCAGTCAGAAGAGAATGCAATTTGTCTTATAGATATTCATCTATGGATTGCATTTAACCTGGGAAGTTATAACATTAGTTTATTATTAGATACTTTCTTATATCTTTACTAATATGTAAGTTTTTATTTTTCTAAACAACCTTGCATAAAATAACTATAATTTTGGGGAATGCGAACCATCAAGCGGTACAAATTTGTTTATTTTACATTATGATTATATATATTTTTATAATTAACTATCTATGTTTTTTTGCAGATCAGTGGTTACTTACTTAGAAAATACGTCCGACTCAAAGAAAACCCGGGCGTTTTTGAAATCGCATTTTTCTTGAATAAAAAAGACTACAACTTTGATAATGAGATGGACTGGGTTGGTGATCAAACAAATAGTTGGCGATCGGCTTTAGAGGCATTACTGCGATGTGGCCAACTTTAAGTGGGTGTCAACCCACAAGGTTAGTATCCTTGACATTATTTTTGTTGTTTATTGTAACATAGAAAGTAGGGATGTTATTCGGACTGGAACCGGATAGAACCGACGTGAGCAACTCGAAAACCAAATAAGGGTAATTGCATGGACTGAGAACCGAACCAATTAACCAATACGGGTTCGGTTGGTTTAGGTATTAATCGATTCGGTTTAGTTATTACCCGAATTACCCGAATAACATGTACAAGATGATTAAGCATCTAATATAACCGAAAAAACCCTGAATAAACCGTATTAGGATTCTATAACCCAAACAACATTTACAATATGATCATAAACAATGTATTTTTTATGACTTTTGTAGCTTATGATTTCTTAACAAATCCTTTAAATAAATAAATTTGTTAATTAAAAATAATGCAAAGTATACATAATTGTTTCAAAGGTGTAAAAAAATGTTAGAATTTGTGTAGTAAAAATCTAAATACCCGTCCCAAATAAAAGCATATTGGATTTTACATTCTTATATCTTAGTTAATTCGTCATTTACATTTTTACTACACAAATTCTAACCTTTTTTTACACCTTTGAAACAATTATGTATACTTTGCATTATTTTTAATTAACAAATTTATTTATTTAAAGGATTTGTTAAGAAATCATAAGCTACAAAAGTCATAAAAAATACATTGTTTATGATCATATTGTAAATGTTGTTTGGGTTATAGAATCCTAATACGGTTTATTCAGGGTTTTTTCGGTTATATTAGATGCTTAATCATCTTGTACATGTTATTCGGGTAATTCGGGTAATAACTAAACCGAATCGATTAATACCTAAACCAACCGAACCCGTATTGGTTAATTGGTTCGGTTCTCAGTCCATGCAATTACCCTTATTTGGTTTTCGTGTTGTTCACGTCGGTTCTATCCGGTTCCGGTCCAAATAACATCCCTACTTTCTATGTTACAATAAACAACAAAAATAATGTCAAGGATACTAACCTTGTGGGTTGACACCCACTTAAAGTTGGCCACATCGCAGTAATGCCTCTAAAGCCGATCGCCAACTATTTGTTTGATCACCAACCCAGTCCATCTCATTATCAAAGTTGTAGTCTTTTTTATTCAAGAAAAATGCGATTTCAAAAACGCCCGGGTTTTCTTTGAGTCGGACGTATTTTCTAAGTAAGTAACCACTGATCTGCAAAAAAACATAGATAGTTAATTATAAAAATATATATAATCATAATGTAAAATAAACAAATTTGTACCGCTTGATGGTTCGCATTCCCCAAAATTATAGTTATTTTATGCAAGGTTGTTTAGAAAAATAAAAACTTACATATTAGTAAAGATATAAGAAAGTATCTAATAATAAACTAATGTTATAACTTCCCAGGTTAAATGCAATCCATAGATGAATATCTATAAGACAAATTGCATTCTCTGCTGACTGGTCTCTCAAATTGATTTTTATTGTGTTATGACGTCTCTTCTAACTGGTCTCTCAAATTGATTTTTATTGTGTTATGACGATCTCTATTCCTGAAATATAAACATCATAGTTGTTAATAACTTTATTTTTTTATATAACTAATTGGGAGACCCATGCATTACATGGGTTAATTTAAAAGAAAAAAAAATAAATATAAAAAGTCACTATTTGAGAACTTTGAATTTATAAGACAGTAAGAAAAATAATGAATTATTATAACTAAAATGTTTTTTATCTTTTAAATTTAAACAAATAATTTAAATAAATAAATATAAAAAACTACAGAGCTTTAATTTGAGAATTTTAAAATTTAAAGGTAAGTTTATTAATAAAACTGATATCAATTTATTACTATAATTATTGCAATTATTACATTAAAATATTATGTGAAATTTAATAAAATAGAAAAGCTCATAAAATGACATGTGGAAAAAAAATTTAATTTAAAATAACCACGAAATGACATTTGACAAATTGAATAAGAATGTCACATGTGACAAAAAAAAAAAAAACACTTCTTTTTTTAGAGTAGATTAAAAATAAACTTAAAGCTAACCTTAATTCAATCAATTTAAAACCCTCCAATTTTTTGTTCCTTGCAAGATCCCTTTCTAGAGTCGGTCTCAATATCTCTTCCTACAAACATAAATCATTTAAAGGAAGAAGTTTATGGGATGTGGGGCCTAAAGATAAAATGAGTTGGAGTTGGAAAAACCTGTTGAAGATTAGACCTTACCTTCAGGACTCTTTTTATTCTCATATTGGAAATGGTGAAGATACTTCCATGTGGTTTGATAATTTGCATCAACTAGGTCCTACACAATTTTTTTGCTTTAGAATTCTTATTTGACTATCATAATTGTGTGATTTTGTTAATATTTGTGTAAGTGTAATAAAAACTTATTGTACGGTAAAGAAGTAAAAAAAAATTTGAAACATAAACTCATCTTTAAGGCAAAAAACAGAAGCAACAAGATTGCACTTCTTTTAGTTCTTAGTTTTACCTACTTTTAGCATTTACTTTATTATTTACACTCAAAATATAAAATGCATATATAAATAAATTTCCTTTATCTATTATTAAAGTTAATATTGGCAATTAATCATATTCCAGAATTGTGTAGATAGCCACTTTTGTTGATAAAATATAACTTTTTGTTTGATTCCCTTTTTAGTGAGCTATGTTTATTTGTTCTATGGTCATAGTATAAGTTTGTCCCTTTATGCACATGGGATTGAACCTCACGTATTTCAAATTTGCCGCTCTAACCCTTTGGCATACCGACGCAGCAAGTCTGGTATAATCATAAATGATTATACAATGTCACTCGTTCCTTTCTCCTCCGCCACCATCCCCACCACCGTAACTGCCACCGCCACCACCATTACCACCACCTCTGACACCAATCATCAAAAGTCAACATACCATTTTTTTTTTCTTTTTTTCTTCTATATAATACTACTTTAAAGTTTTTTTGCTCCCTGGGTCATCAAAAGTCAACATACCAGTCTTTAAATTTGTGAAAAGAATAGTACCATTTTCTTTTGGTGTAAAAAGAAAATTATTTGCACTTTTGGTCCTTGTGGTACTATCTATTATTGAACCATGTGGTCATGTGTTGTCAATTTTACAAAATTTAATTATTATTAAATATTTTAAAATGATCAAGATTGGAAAAACATAATCAAAGGGCAACGTACTTTCTTCGATGTTTTTGGGTTAATTGCAAAAAAGTAAACTAGTTTCCCAACATGAGTTGTCGCTACAATGGATCTTTTAGGCAATTAATATGTTTTAAAACATCAAATTCAAGTTTTAGTAGTAAATTTTCTACTAAGCTTGTTTGATATTCCACAAATTAAACTAAAATTATGCATATAGATAAAGTATGTCTTGAGACAATATAATCCAAAACAAAGTTATTTGTGAACCAAAATTCAAATCTTGTGAATAAAATAATCCTCGATGAAAGAAAGATTACTACAGTACTACTGATGTCTATAATGCTATGAATAAAATCAAACTCAATGAAGGAATCAAATGAACCAAAGAGTGTTGATGCCTATAAGGCCATGAATAAAACCAAACTCAATGAAAGAATCAAATGAACCAACGAGTACCTAATGAAAATGTATGGAATTCAGCTAACTGATAAGCCCCAAGTAATCCTAGAGTGCTTCTAGTTGATCTGCTTTATTATAATTATTTTGGTCTAGGGGTAGTTCGGTCTTTTATTTAGTTATTTTGCAGGTTAGAGTTAGTGGTGATTCAAAGTAGTGGGGATATCACCTCGCTAAGATGTAATTCCCTTGTCCTTTTCTTTAGTAGTAGTAGTATACATATAGTAGTTAGTTATAGGAGTGAGATAGCTAAGAATTAATCTGTAAGAGAACTTTGTTCTTCTTTTGGAGAGACTCTCACCTCTAGAATTGTGAGAAAACTATCTTTATGAATATTATCAAGAATTTCTGTTAGTGTGAGCTTTACAATACCTGGAGTATATGATAGATTCAACAAGGATCTATCAATTGGTATCAGAGCAGTTGATGCTGGGGAAACAATGATAGCAAATGAACAACAACAATCTCTGTGGATTCAACAACAAGCAAAGGACCAGGAAGAGCTGAAGATCATCCGAACGGAGTTGCTAGAGATGGTGAAGATAATGGAGATGCATCGTCAGAACCAGATAAAGAGAAAAGAAGAGACAGAAGCTAAAATAGCAGAAATGAAAAAATATTACTACTCAGAGGAAGGGATGGAGGCTGAGAAGGCTAAATGGAGACAAATTTACTACTCAAGCTTGAAGGAGAAGGAGAAAGTAGACCATGAGGAGGAAGAAGCATCCGTCAAAGTTTATGAGTCAGAATCAGAATGCAAGACCACACCATCGTCATCACTGTCGGAATTTGAAGCAACTAGCGAAGGAAAGACAGCCCACGAGGAGGAAGATGAAGTATCATCGGAATTTTCTGAGTTGGAATTGGAATCCGAGCCACCGTCGCAGTTTCCACCAGCAGCGCTGCCGCCGAAACAACCAACCCCGCTGTCGTCTCCGCCATCTCTAGGGTATGAGAGCAGAAAAGAGAATGAGATGAAGAACTTAGGTGGAAAAGTTCCTGAGTCGGAATCAAAACCAAAGAAGGCACCACAACCACCTATGCTGTCACAGCCGCCACCTTGCCCTCCCCTGTCGCCGCCACATTCACCTTCACCACCACCATCACCGGTGATATTTCAATCAGCAGGAGTAATGAGAAAATCAGCTCTGGACCAGGAAGGATCGAACCAGATGTTGAACATGGCGACTCTGGTATGGACGAATCCAAATGGCGAAATTCCGGTAGCAGAAAACCATTTAGAAACGGGAGCCACCGGGCGATGTTGTGTGTTTTCGCAGATCAGGAAGCAAACGGAATACTCACAAATGGGAGATAGCGGCTCCCTTAAGCGACGTCTGTGAAACGAAACATCTAGGTCAACACAAAGGTGGGCTTCAAAAAGAAATTTGGGCCGAATTTAAAGTAAGGGGCTCACCTAATCAGACATTGGACGTGATGAAAGGTAAACACTCTAACTTAAGCCCAATTGTTAGTAAATCATCTAAGGCTAAAGAGACCTTCAGCAGCCCATGTGAGATTGAATCACTGAGTACGCATTCAATCCCACAGTCGGCGAACTTGGCGCCAACTCTTACGTTCGTAACTCCTACTTTAGCACCACCTGCATCGTTGTTTCCTATAATCTTAAATCTAGATATGAGTATGGAGTTTTCGTTGAATCAAATGCAACACACACACAATTCATCATCATCTCTATCGATGTACAGTTCCAATTCAACTTCTGAAATACGAAAAGAAGACCCCCTCAAGCTTGCTGCCGAAGACTACTTATCTGGGATTTTGATGTTGTACCTCCAGAAAGGAATGGTGGACCAGGCACTCCAACCGTTCGACAAAATGCTTCAACATCAGAACCGCATCTTTAATGAAAAATCTCCTTGTCAAGAGGCATTTCTAAAAGCTTTACCAGGTGATAATGAAAGATTTAGTGCAAACAGTAGGGAGGTAAAGTATCTAAAAGGAGGTTATGTTGCTTCGAATTTCAAGAAAGTTCATGCAATGGGTGCTGCAAATTTTATTTCTTATGTGATTATCATGAACCCTGTGGGTCAGATTGGAACTGTATATGCTCTGATGTTCCATTGTTTGGTTGTGAAGTTGGCTGAGATTTTGACTAGGATTGATAAAGAAAGAGAGAAAGAAAAACTTGAGATTCCTAGTAAAGGGAAGAATGTATCAAGGTCTGCTGTCATCTGGATGGGGAAGAAACCAGAAACTGTTGGAGACATAATTAGCTTAGATAGGACGGGAAAAAGCCCAGAAGTTGTGGGTGCTATGCATGTTGTTTCTGGAATCTATTATGCATACGGTGAAAATAACAGATTGCATGGGAAGGAATGGGTTCAATTTTTTGTTGAGAAGGGTGATGCTGATAAAGAAAATATTGATGTGCTAACTGAGGTCGAGCAAGTGGATGTGATAACTACAAATCAGAGCAATACTGAGGAAGCAAAGATAACAAGGTTGTATGTTAGAATTTGGGTGATATTGACCATTTTTATCCACCTTAAAGGGATGAAAGTTAAAAAAAATAGCAACAAGAATGAAATGGAATGGCTGGTGCAGTGGCCAAGGTTTCCGGAAGCAGAAGCAACGTGGGAAGAATTCAAGAAGATGAAACTAAGGGTTCTGGATGTTCACCTTGAGGACAAGGTGAAAGTTTGGGACGCCGGTATTGATAAGCCCCAAGTAATCCTAGAGTGCTTCTAGTTGATCTGCTTTATTATAATTATTTTGGTCTAGGGGTAGTTCGGTCTTTTATTTAGTTATTTTGCAGGTTAGAGTTAGTGGTGATTCAAAGTAGTGGGGATATCACCTCGCTAAGATGTTATTCCCTTTTGTCCTTTTCTTTAGTAGTAGTAGTATACATATAGTAGTTAGTTATAGGAGTGAGATAGCTAAGAATTAATCTGTAAGAGAACTTTGTTCTTCTTTTGGAGAGACTCTCACCTCTAGAATTGTGAGAAAACTATCTTTATGAATATTATCAAGAATTTCTGTTAGTGTGAGCTTTACAATGCCTAGAGTATATGATAGATTCAACAAGGATCTATCAAAGCTAACAAGTTGAAAGAACTCTAAAATATTCCTTCAAAGAATCACAATGGAAAATTAAGGCAATAAACCCTCAATCTAGCATTGCACCTCTGCAACATCATATTTTTTTCTACATTTCTTGAATTTAAATCAACCCAAATTATAATTATTGAACAGTTTACCTCATATGGAAGGCTTTTGAAATGTTGCTTCATATCAATTTCTACGCATTCACCGGAGGTTGGATGCATAATCTTCCTTCACACTCGCTCGCTGGCTTGGCTACTGAAGGGAGAGTTTCATCGGAAAATAATCAGGAGAGCTAATCGGAAATACATACCCTCACTCTCTCTCACGCAGACAGATACACACACTACTGTACAAGAACACATTGATTTTCTTTGCTTCTTTTCATATATGGATTCAAAACTGATCAAAGGGAATGGGAATGCTAATTTGAGGTTACAAACAAATTCCTTTCAAGGAATTCCAGAATTGATGGTCGGATTTTGAGAAAAAAAGGACGATTCCCCTGCAGATATGCGATCAACGACTGTAACTAGAAGACAACAGGATTTCGGCATTTGACAGCTTTGGTCCCTAGGTTTAGCATTCCGACATAGTCTACCCTCAATACAATTATCTCTACTAATTTCTGAAAATTACACACTACCCCCTGGACTTGTAATTCCCAATCAGTTTTTTTAAGTGGATTGATTTATTTTAATTTCTTATCATTATTATCATTTTTTATTATACCTTGATTATTTATGTAATTAATTAATTGACTATTAAGTAGCAAAAATCATATAAGCACATTGTTAAATTAATTAAAGCACTCCGCATTTAATAATCATAATATTAATATTCCTCTAAAGAAGTTAAAACCGAAACGAACTGTTACAACCTTCAGATGTTTTAAGTGAATCAAGAGATGTGTCAAGTCCACAAATGCACGCATAGCCTTGCCGATGACGCGAGTCCAAAAAATAGCCTGATTTAGGCGCATTTAGCATTGGTCGCTAGGAGTTGAGGAGCTTTTATTTTTGACGGGTTCGGGTCAAGTCGGTTTGACCAACCTGGCCAAAGATTTTACCAGTGTGACTTTGTTTTTGTTGATGAGGTGACAAAACCTTCTAAAATCCTCTGGAAAGATCAAATAGGCTTCAATTTTGAATTCAAATAAGAACATATAACGATATCCGGTTCAAGTTTCAAACCGCCATGTGTTAGTCTGTGAGAGTTTGGACTTACTCACTAGGTATATTTTTTAGGAGCCTCTAGGGTTTTCGTTCATTATATAAAGGTCCTATTTACATCACATGAAACTCAAAGCTCTCTCTCTCTCTCTCTCTCTCTCTCTCTCTCTCTCTCATTTCTTCTAGTTCTATAAATATTCACTTTGCATTTATCGTTTTCCATATCTGTTAACCAATATATTTGCATTAAATCTTGAGGTTTTACTCTATTTTTTACAGCCCTAGAAGTGAAGTAAAAACCTCTAAGGACGTGAGTAAGATCCGTGCAAATTTCTATAATCAATATCAGCTATCACACTAGTAGGTTTTACTTTACTGTTTCGCGTTTAAATTCGTCTAATAACATGACAGTTTGTTTTACTCATTTCTTATAATCATATATGATCGTAAAGGATCATGATACAACCAAGTTTCCTCATGTGGCTAGGCCCAAACGTGACATCTAATTTCCGACTAAACTGAATGCTAAACTGAATGATTACCTTATATAATTTAGGCTCCATCTCAATGAATACATACTCAAAATCGTTTAGAGTAATTTTTCAATTTTATTGTTATTTCCAATTATATTTGCTTATATTATTTCATATATGTTTTTGAAAAATGTACTTATATAATGTAACTATGTATGAGACCCATGTATTACATGAGTTTATTTAAAAGAAAAAACTAAATATACGATTCTTGATAAAGCATTTGAAATTAGTAAGTTGTGATGTTTTGGATAAAACATAGACCAATTTAGGCCAATCATATGTAGTTTTTGTCTTGATAAAGAATTCACACTATCTATTGAATATTTGGTAAGAGAGTCTTATATGTCAAGAGGATAATGGGAGTCTTAAACGTCTTGGAAAAGATTCAAGAGTATGATCAAGAATAAAACTTGTAGTTTATCACTAGCACACGACTTGAGGTCTGTAACCTATCGTGTTGACATATTCCTATTTTTGTGCTCATTCCAGTTAAAGTTGGCTTTGCATATGAGTTCTGAGAGTTCTCAATTGGTTGCATAACAACTTGGAAGCAATGGTAGGCCCTTGTGTTGCCAGATGGCAAGAAGTAAAGACTGCACAAGTTCAATCCATATGAGTTTGGATTTGTCACTAACCTTGTCTTGTGATTATGGTTTTAACAAATTCACATGGATAAGAACACATACACCATAAAATCTAAGTGTCATAAGGTTTCTCTCCGATTAATGACAATGATGGTGAGGAAACGCTTTCACTAAGTAGATTTTAAGTAGATAGCAATTATGATATTTGCATTCTCAAAATCGTTAGTGGAGCATGTGTGGTTAACCGACACACTAACTTGGACTTGTGAGGAATGACAAAGGTCTAAACAATTGAGACTATGATTACGACATCCCTTTTCATAGTTCTGAAATTGTTTAGACACACATGTGTGCTATCTAAGGAAAGGTGTATGATTTTGATAATGTTTTTTTAAAGCATCTCGTATCAGAAATTTGAACTTTGGTAAGAAAGTCAATAAAGTATTGATTTCTAGAAGTCCAGCTGATCTCTGAGTACATGTCAAAGTTAGTGGGAGCATAAGTGTTATGCTAATAATCATCATGTTAGTGGGAGCATGATAGTTATGATAAGTGTTGCAAGTTAGCAATGTTAATTATAGAAAACAAAAAACTTTCAATTGGGAAAAAGTTGTTTTGCTATAATTAAGGGAGATGAAATTATACTTCGTTTCAATTCTAAAAGCTTAGATTGAGGATTTAATCATCTTTAGTCACGGATATATATATATATATATATATATATATATATATATATATGAATTTTATGTTGGAATGGCTCAACATTAGGAAATTCTATATATGGGTCCACTATTTACGTTCTAAAATTCGATTATGATTACGACATCCTTTTTGATAATCTGAATTATGAGAACATGGCAAATAGAAACACAAATATTATAGCAAAAGACTGGTCTAGTATCATGTATTTATGTGAGACATCATGAATCACGTCCCATATGTTTCGGATATAGGGTCGATTGCATGTGCTATAATATTCATCCTTTCTAAATTTTTTCCAAATGCCTAGAGTATTAAGATGGAAAAAGTACTAGAACTAGATATGACTAATTTGATTAAGAAATTATCGAGGACAATCTAAGGTTTACCAAAGATTGGTTGCTCAGGGACAGTTGGAAGTATAGTGTTAATTTTGGAAGGACCATATTGACATATTCTGAAAAGTGACAACTCTTGTTCAGAAGTGATAGTCAGAATGAGAATATGGAAATGTTCCTATAGGTGGAAGTTATTCATTAAATCTGTGTAAGATTAGGAAACTTAATGCAAGAAGGATATTCAAAGCAATGTACTTTGAATTTGAGACTTCGTTTCCATGGAATGATCTCCATTGGAATACTCTGTAATGTTTGTTGATAAGTCTATGTGACTTTGTGCATAATCATTACAAGAGGATCAATGCATATAAGTTTAAAATCTAACAAGATTTCGGTAAATAGCAGGTATTTGGAATTCTTGCATTTGCGGTAAGAATTTAGGACTGTGAAATGAGAATCATTGGAATTATGTTCAATCGATCTATTTCACAAAGTAAAGATCATAGAAAAACTTAGTGTGCATATTTGGTGTGTGGCATAACTAATGTTTGGACAAACATAGTGTGCATACTTGGTGTATGGCATAACTAGTGTTTAGAAAACATAGTGTACATGCTTGAAGCATGGGACAACTATTGTTTTAATTCAATTATAAAGTTGATAATTTGAAACAGTATGCAATGAATAATGTGTAATCAATATTGTGATAAATAAAAGTTGTTCTATTTATATTCATAAGTTTTAAGACCATATTAGATTTGATTATTCTTGTGTTTCACTTTGCATGTTTTGACTTCCATAATAACTAGGTCATTCTTCCCGAATGACTAATTTATTCAAACAATCCATAATCGATAATACGTTGGAAGTAGGTATTAAGGCAAGATTGTCATGAAGCTGGTTTGTAGATGTCCAAGGTATTGGACATAGCAAGAGTTGCTACAACATTCATGGGTGCTCATAAGTTATGAGTATTGGATTAAACCCACGCTCATTTGACTCACTTCATGGATTTTATCACGAGTGATCATGAGATGATAATATCTTATATTATTCAAACCTAGATATATGAGTTGTTGCCTATGAGTTGGTTATACATTGATTGCACGAAAACGCATTGGTAACTCGATGTTATAAAACATGCCTTTGTGTATGATTCAACAAGTAGTAGAACAAGCATATGAATCAAAGTTTATCTATTCCATTTACCCTTAAATGGATAAAAGCGATATATATGTGGGCCCCTCGATGATTTATTGATGACACCCCGAAGTGCTTGGCCAAGCCTGGACTGATTTGATTTGTTCAATTAGTCGGTCGTTATAAACCGGAAAGCGGGAAACAACAGATGGATAGAGAGAATGATTATAATCCATGCATCAGTCCATATGATATCTAGAATGGAGGAATATATGATCCCTTATCTAATGGACATGCCATTGATTCGTTTAGAGTTCGTCAACGGATTTCAAGAGCTACGATTGTCGGACAGATTTTGAAGTCTTACGCAATAATAGTTTTAGACTTATCCAAGTGGAAGACTATTGGATTAGTGTCTAAGTCCATAACTATAATTGGTATGTACTTGACCCGACTTGGCATGGTCCATTTGGGTTGCATGGCATCGGAACAATTGGATAGACAAAATGAGAAAAAGGATACTAGTGATTTCTATTAATATATTATAAGTTCTAATATATTAATATGAAATCATATTATTTAATCAATATTGATCAAGAATTAATCTAGTGATCAAAAGGAACTAATTAAATATGGACTCTTATATATAGTTGGTGGGCCAAGTTGATTTAGTTTGGGTTAAGTTTACATGGATAGTCCATGGAGCTTTTAACCCATGGATCCTATGGAAATGAAAGGTTATAGGTATTAGGGTTTACATGAATGTAGCCCTAATCATCCACACTATATAAAGAGGTATATGGTTCATGAAATGAAACTAGTGGAACTAA